TGGGCCTGACCTACACGAGATTTGCCCATCAATTAAAACAAATGAACATCATGGGTTTGTCATTCTAAAACAAGCTATTTTCTCTAGCATAATATATATTATGCTATTATTTTATATCTCAGTGGCTAAAATATAATGTATTTTAAAGTTATTCAATGGTTAAACCTCGACCAACCCAATTAGTCCAATTTTTATCATTTCAAATATATATTATGTAATTATTTGATATCATAATGATTAAATTATAGTGTATATTATAGGGAATCGTTTGGTATTGTTAGTAAAAAACTAAACAGAAGATCTATTTGATTATTTTTAACATTAAAACGATCCTAAACATTTTCAGTTTCCTTTCGAAATTCTATAGTTTTATTCCCGAATCAATGATGTGCAAATGGCGAATTGCAATAATCTCTTTTCTTTCATTATTTTTTGTTTTCAAATAGAAAGTTTAAAAGTAAAGAATAATTAGAGATTGGCATGGGTCGGTCAAACATGCTGAATTTCAAGTTTTGGCCCGTTTTGATCAAGTCTAATTTATAATCACATGGTTCCCCGATACCCGATAAAAATCTCATTCCAAACCAGTTTGGCAGGTGAGTCCGTGTTTACCACCATTTTCTAGGGATACAGGAACGGTGGTTCCTATACCAAATCGTGTTGTTCATTCTTGATTTCTTTAGATTTTATCATGTCTTGGCAAAAAACCAGAAACCACAATGATGACAAGATGAAAGTTTTATAAAGCAAATTAATCGGTCAACGGACAGTGTAAAAGCTAGCAACGATTGTGAGATGCTCATTTCCCGAAAACCTGCGGGATAGACGATTTTTTTATTCGATTTTTTGGAATTCGGTTTCTATAAAACTTACTCCACCTCATCATATTACCAGAAATAATATTGTTTCACAAGGTAACAGATACTTGATTTTGGTTCATAAGACTGATTTTTGATTCGTTGCATCATTCATGTCTCATTCCTACTAAAATTTACTATTTTTATCACATGTTTGCAAAAAAAAAAAAAAAAAAAACTATACAACAATAAGCTATACACCCCATTATATTATCAAATTTCATACCTCACCTTCCTCCGACCAAATGGTCGGGGCCCACGCTAGTTAAGTAATGAATGACAATTAGTTATATTTTTTTCATTAATTATGTAATGCTTATATTATTTTTTTCACTTTTCATGGAAGTCTAAACACATTATGCACAGTTGGATCACTTTCAAAAATGCTATGTGCATAACTAAAGTAAAAAACAATCATTTCATGCATTTCAAATCATCTATTATATCAATTATTACATACCATATTACTCGACACCGCGGCTTGGCTTCTCCGACAAAGAATTTCGTGGTCAGAGGTGAACTCCTCCCACCGAAATTTCAAAGGAACCGCTCCTATGGTGTTGAGAAACAGGGGATTCGGCAAACGGCGGGGACAGGACTTAATCGCAAGTCCAAAAACGAGATCTCCACACAAAGATTCATATTAACCAAAAGTCCAAATGATTGGAAAAACTAACGAAAAAATACCAGAAAAACACATAGAATCATATGTGTGCTAGAAGAAATCGGCCTTCCATCAATCCGAAATTATACCCTGGCACTCCTCAATGACTAAGAAGCATCAGAAGTGCGATCGGAGGGGCATGCAGTTCCGCTGATATGGTGGTGTGTACCAGTATATGCTTTCTTCCCCGCTCCTTTTTGAGGTGAATCTTTGTTACGAGATCGGGCCATCGTAGTATTTCGTAGAAGATTGGGCTTGCGTATCTTTAGTATTTTATTATTAGTTCGTTGGGTATTATTGGGTCTTTATTATTATTGTCTTAATTAGTGTTTCCCCTGTTTAAGTAGTATTTGGTCATTGTTAGTTGTTTCCTTGTAGTAATAGGAGTCAAGTCCTAGATAGGAAAAGGTAGATGCTTCTATGCCTATAAATATGTACTTGTTTCGTTCGTTTAATGATAAGAAGATTGGAACCCAATAGTTAGCTTTTGTTCTTAGTTTGCTATTTTCTTCTTATTTCCTTTGAGTGTTCTTGCGTTCTATTCCTTTTATGAGAAAACCCTAAAAACACAATCACCGTAACAAGCTTCTTCCTTGCAGGTTAGAAACCCAGAAAAACAGAACACAATAGGAATAGGAATAGTGGGTTACCTTGTTGACGTACAAATAATCCCAACATAACTATAAAGACTTTCTGGGGCAGAACCCCCTTAGATTGGTTTTTCCTGCGTTGTGCGCAATCCACGGAGGGAGCACATAGTCAATTCCCGCCACAGTCAATTAATTAGACTGACTGGGCCGCCAGTTCCCTCCTAGAAGCCCATTGATTCCCTCCATCGAAGCCCATTACAGCTCGCGTTCCTAGCCTCTGTACCACCCGGAAATCGAACCTCACCAAAATCGAACCTCACCGAAAATGAACCTCACCGCCTCAGCGCCCAGCTCACCGCTCCTGTCTCCAGCCTCTCTAGCTACCGGAAATCTAACCTCACCGCCCAACTCACCGCGCCCATCGCATCCCCCAACTCTCTCGTTGCCGGCCCAACTCACTGCGCCCATTGCATCGCCCAACCTCTCTCGCTGCCTGCCGGAAGTCTAACCTCATCGCCCAACTCACTGCTCGCGTCTCCAGCCTCTGTAGCTACCGGAAATCGAGCATCAACTCGGAGCGCGTGTTGTGGATCTTCAGCTAAAACGGCTTCCGACTCCGCAGCAGCTGAGCGTAAGCGCAAAGCGAGTGTGTTCTCGCGGATCAGCTTCCCGGAGGGAGAAGCGGCCAGCAAGAAGCGGAAGGGGTCTTCCTCCGCCGCTGCTGCCGAAGCAGCTTCTTCAGCTGCTGGTGGAAAGTCCTCTGCATCGGGCAACGGATACCACGACAGGAAGTCATCTACGTCCGCTTCCGTCGGTGGTGGAGGCAGGAGCAGAGGAATCGATTCTGAGGAAAGGGATACTCGCGTTCACGGTGATTGCACCAGCCCTAGCTCCGACTGAAAAGCATAGAGGAGTGGTTTCCGGCGGTCAAACTAGAATTGAACCACAGTGCTGGTACTAGAGTTTACTGGCGAGGTATCTCTCTCTCTTCCCACTTCCATACCTTTTACCATAAATTAGAAGAAGTGGCATCATGCATTACTTTGAAGTATGAACTATAGGTACTAGATAGCCATATTCGTCAGATTAGAGTTCATGAATCAGTATGTATACATTAGAGTTCATAGTGTGCTCAGAACAAAGATTCTTGTGCTTGCAACCCTTATTATTCAGATTGTTTGAGTGTTATGTGGCTAGACTTTAGAATGAATGAGTAGTGAAATAACCTGCAATATGTACACATCCCCTGCTAGAGCCATCTCCTAAATGCATGCTAAATATGGGACAGTAAGAATCAAACAGAGGCTAAATTGTATAACCTAAGAACATCAAGCATTAATGGATGTGCAAAGTAGGTAAACTGTTATGCATCATAGTAGCTTCAGCTAAAAATTGAAAGCAAAAAGGTGAACGGAGCACAAGTACACATAACTTATAAGTTGCAGAGGGTGAATCCCATGCCAATTCACTAGCTCCCATCACAAACTCCTTCAACTCTTGAATCAAACTGAACCAAACATTGATTATATACTCGGATCCATAGAATCAGGACTACAAACAGATCAAAACCTCAAACTGTTCACAACCCAACTCAAACTCACAAAACCACTCCAATAAATAAACACCTATGAAAGCAATTGCAATAAGTACATAATTGCAAGAGAAAGAGATAACAGAGTTAGAAACCTCTGAAAAGATACTAAAATTATTTCTGAATCATTTTCCTGAGGTCATCAAGTTGGTAATAAAGATTAGTCAAACATGTCAGTACTCTCCATGAAAAAATCGATAGAATGAAGACCAACATGAAACAGAACCAGCAATGTTTTGTCATGTTTAGGAGTAGAAAAGTCACAGCGGGAACTCACAAAAAAGTACAACAGAAGCAAAACTGGCCAATCTAAGGTTCATTCCTAATGTCAGTCACCAAACTTGCTACACATGAACTTCTAGAGATCAGTTTCTGTATCCAAGTAAAAATTAGATATCATTCTAAAATTCTCGGAACCAACTGCACTGCTCAGTTTGGCAATGCAGGGCCAAAACCAGAAACTGCCAATTCATTATTCACAAGTGAAATGGAATTTCACATAATCTGTCAGCTTATTGCTGAAGTATGGAATCAAATTCACACTTTTAAAGATATGTTGATTGTTGGTGATAGTGGATCATGAGCTTACTTTCTTAAGGCAGCATATGCCTCTCTGCCTTTTCAAGGGGATAACCACTGGAGTAGAAGGCAATTATGACTCTGAAAAGATACTAAAATTATTTCTGAATCATTTTCCTGAGGTCTACTATCTATCCACACTGAATTACTATGGTCAAACAAAAATGGTTAATCCAGGTAAATGATTTGTAGTTACCTCTTGCTCTCTCAAAGATTCTTCTGCTTGCAACCCTTATTAGTCAGACTGTTTGAGTGTTATTTGGCTATGGTAATATCAATTATCCATATGTATCATTAGATTAGGTTACCCTCTATCTAATTTGGCGCCTGCTGTCCTGAATAGCTTTTCCTTGAGCTAATTCCATTAATCAGAAGAGGTAATTCCATTAATCAGAGAGTCATCACCACTCGAAGACAATAGCAGCAGCACCAGTCTTTGTTTCTCCAGTGGAAGACAATTACCACCACTCGGATACAACAACAGCAGCACTCGAGCGGCAAATGCTCCACCAGTCCACCAGTCTTTCTTCCACCACTCAAAGACAATAAAGTGATTGACATTAAGGTACACAACTGTAATCCTTTTTCTTTGGTGAGCTATGAAGTCATAGAACTCAAATTCCACACATATATATTACAAATCAGATTGCAGGTTCATGTTTGTTTTTCTTTGGTTCGATCTGCTGTATATCACCAATGAATGTACTTAGTGAAAGGGGTGCAAAAGAGAGTGCTTAGGTTCCACAAAGTTTCATAATCATGCCTCTCTCTATCTCATTGGCTCGAAAAGCATTGTTGCGATGAAGCAAACCTGGTCATGCGTATTGTTGTTTATTAGAACCCTTCCGACATAAGATAAGATAAAAAGCTTTCTCATTCCATTTTCTGTAAGAAAATTCAACCCTATGCAACCAATAAGATCCAGGTCTATAGTTTGTTCCTTTTCCTATCAAAGGCAAAACCTCATACTTTTCTCGGAATCCCTCCATTTTCAGGCTGCACCCACTATGAACAATGCTTTTCAAGAAAAACCCAATTTCCCATGCAAACAAACTCTATAATTGCTCCCACCAACGTCTCGAGCCAATGAGATAGAGAGAGGCATTTTGGTTAGTACTTGCTTCCATTGCATGCAGAAGCAAATCTGATGTTCTTTTTTGAAGGTCTATGCCTCGAAGAAGAAGCATTCCCCGTGTGAAGTCATCAACACTATCAAATAATGAGTCAATTCGACCATTAAAAGTTGAATGTAAGTACAGATATTGATCTTGCAGAAGTCATCAATTTTGTGCCAAGGTGAACTCACGATCCACAATTTTATTATCGTATTTGGTTGCGTTATAAGTTTCCCGCTTAAAAAATTCAAAAAGATCCATTACCTTCGTTTTTGGTGAATATAGTGACGGCGATGCACCAATTCCTCCAGTCAATGGAACAAATATAACTAAACAAATAATCCCATCCATATCACTAGATGAGCTCAATCAATTGAAGATGAAAGATGGACAGGAGGTACGTATCGTTTTCAATTAAACAAACTAATAGTGATCAAATGCTAACAATTCGTATAATATCCAGGGAAATATGTATTCCGTCAAATGCAAAGTTATCAAGGTTAAGAATGGGTGGTGCTATGCTGGATGTGGAACATGTCCACAAAAACTTGAAGAAGAATCAGATGAGTACTTCTGTGGGACCTATATGACGACGTTAAAGACCACAACATCAAGGTAATACGATAATTATTAATATCAAATTGTGTTATGTGTTTTCTACATATATTTCTTTATCCTACTCACTACACAATGCAAAACGTTTCGATAATAATATGAAGAGCTACTGCACCGCCGATTTGTTCCCAATTGGGCTGCAATTCTTGTTGTACCAACTTTCACCCTTTCACAATTTATCATTATTGGCTTGCTCTTTCCTGTTCAATACTGCTTGCTTTGGTTTCCTTAATTTCACGTGGTTCTGCTTTTGGTTAATTATTTGTGTGTTTAGCTTTTTGGATTTGGAGTTATAACCATTTCTTATTTTTAATTCTTCAAAAACCCACTTACTGCCCCATTTTGATCCCTGCACTGCATGCCTTCCTTTGGTATTATATACAATATCCGTAGCTACATATGATAAGATTATTATTATATAACATAAAATTTTCATTTATGATTTTCTATATTTACACACTTCCGACACTAAAATTGTGCTTCTTTATGTTATTACAATTCTTATATAGATTCAGGATACAACTTCGAACGCGGACAAAACAACTCAAGCAGACTTTGTTGTTTTGGATCGAGAGAGTGATCGATTTTTTGGTATATCTGCTGAGAAACTATTCCAAGACAACGATCGAATGAGAGGACCACCACCTGCTCATCTACTACAAATTGAGGGAATGACGCTGAAATTCGACATCAAGCTCACTGATTATAACATCGCAAACCCAACAAGTGAGTACACAATTTGGAAGATAGGGCTGGAGGATGATAACAAAAACTCAAACGATCACCCTGAATCAATTGAGGTAAGTCCAACTAGCGTGAAATTATATTCACCTTATTTACAATAATGCATTATAACCAAACACGATTTGGAAATTCTATTCAAAATGAACCCTCTAATTATAATTTAATTACAATGCCATCTCAAGTGCTCATACATTGATTTTGCAATGCGTTTTAATTTTATAGCTTAAAATAGTGCAACATTCCTTTATTTCCTATTCACTTGCATGTGCTGCATACTTCAATATATAATCATCCTATATACGTCTTTACTTACCAAATATTATGATTTTATGATTCAATAAAACAACAAATATGTTTTGTTTTTTTAATGGCAAAAAACTAATATCATTATCCTAATTATGCAGGAGATCGAAAATGGCACTTGGCAATGATGCGGTGGCTAGAATCGGTGTAACAAATGATGAATGCTCTTGAGAAGAATGTGGAGTCTCCTGATATTGAACCAAAACAGAGGACTAATGGAGAAGAAGACTTCAATACCGGTGGAGATGATGATGTTGCTAATGACAAAGGAAATGCAAACAAACTAAAAAGAAAACATAGAGTGATAGTCTCTGACAATGAGGAACAAATAGAATGATTAGCGAAAGCAAATTAGGAGTCGGTCCCCTGGCATAGGGTTTCTATATTCTTTTTTCGGAAAACAATTTTACTCAATGAGTCGGTTAGTATATTCGGAAAATACTATGATTGTGTGGTTAAAGTATTTTACTGTTGCACTTTGTTTACATTTAGAAGTGATAAATTTTCATTACAATAAAAAAATAAATTTTTAAACACATACATGACAACACGTTAATCACATTATTATACAGTGATGAACAGTATAATCATTTTTAAACTTACAAGTAAATGATATTTTATTAAATTATCCATTGAATTCATTTGGAAGGGGTATAATCATTTTACGGGATTTAATTAATACAAAATAAAATTTTATTTATGCTATGATTTTAAAAGTTAATGTTGATGCTAATGGTGGAATCAAGAAATTTTTTTATATTTGACGGTAAATGTGCTATTTAAATATTTTTAATTATTATTTTTATTCAAAATGTCATATATAATTTAAATATTAACATGAGTTGTAAGAAAATAATTTTGAATATTTTAACGCTACTAAAAAATTAAAATATTAAATATTTTCATATATCTTTTATTTCTAAATATACTACCTAATAAACACAAAGCTCCCATCAAAATTGCTATTTCTATTTACGCGATTGGCAAATGAATCCGGCCAACCGGCCGGGCCTGCGACTAGTTCTCTAAACTGTGGTTCTTTGAGATCGATCTAATGCGAACCAATGTTGATTGAAAAGGACTGCTTTGAAGAAGATTAAGAAATTAGCAGTCTTCGGGAGGTCTAAATCTTAGGATTCTTTGGGCCAAGCAGAATCTGAGAGAGCGGTCAACTGTGGACAGTGGAGTTTCACATTTCCAACTGTGAAAATGCATTAATACCTATATTGATAATGAATAATAATTTATATAGTATACTTAAATTAAAATTCTAGTTAATTTAACTATATTATAAATCTATAAATTTAATTATAAATAGAGTAAAATTAATTTATTTAGTAATTTGATTATTTTAAAATAGGGGAGAAATTTTTGTATTTTCAACTTTTTGTGAAACATGAAGAAGAGTGAATTTTGGTACTTCAATTTTTTTGGAAAGAAAGAAGGTAAAATTTTGGTGATTTGATTTTATGGGACGAGAAAGAAGTGGGCAATTTTTTTCAACTTTTTGAGAAAAGAAAGAAAAATGAAATTTTGGGCTTTCAATTTTTTGAAAGAGAAAGAAGAGGTAAACTTGAGTGCTTTTGATTATGAGTAGAGAAAGAAGGGAAATTTTGGTGTTATCAATTTCTTAAGAAAAGAATAAAGGAATTTTTTTTATAGTTTTGACTTTTTTGTGTCTCAAAATTTTTAGTCTTTCAAATATAAATATAAATTTCTATGTGTAGGGCATGGATGGAATGACTAAATACAATTTTAGTCTCATCTTCTATATTATATCATCTCAAATGCATGTTATTTAACATTCAAATCATATACTTAATAACTTATCAATTTGATAATTACAATGTTTACATGTGATAGTTTAGGAGTATAAGATTTAGGGACTAAGATATTGTCAATTGTAAACCTTATTACAGGCTTATAGGTTATGACTAATTGAATATAGTTGATTTTGAGAACATATCATGAGTTATCTTATCTCATATACTTAATTACTAGCTTTTACTCGGCCCTTGACCGAAATGAGTTTCGCTTTATCATAATATTGGTTATTTATAATTATATTTAAAATATTAACCCGATTCGTTGGTCGGATGAATTTTATTTTATTTTGATAAATCTCTTCATGTTTTTAAATAAGTTGAGGTTTCTAAAATAGTTAATTCATTATTTCATAGTAATCTATATGATATTTGATGATTATGACATTACCGATAATGAGTTAATATGTATTTTTTATCAAGTCCTCCTAATTTATTGTTGTGTATTTTTTTCATATCTTAGAAGAAATTTGTGGACTTTTTTATTATTGGATATGAAGTTGGAGTTGAAACAAAATATATGTTATCTAGAATGGTAGGAATTAAAGGTATATAAATAATCAAGAGAATGGCGAAAAGATTATGCCAATAAATCTCAAATATGGAAGAAACCAAAAACATAATGCTTATTGTATAAATTATTAGAATTTAGTGTATAGGCTTGATTGAATAATAAGTCGAGGCTGTTATGTGTTAGATACTAATGCACGTACAAAAGTTGAAATATAAAACCTTAAATTCTACTCTATCAATACAATCTTTGACTTTTCATGTGGAGTTAATAGCATAAATTGTCACTCTATTATCCATTTTCTCAAATCTATCCCTTTTATTTTTCACATCAAACATGCCATTGTAATATATAGTATGTACGTATTATCAAATTATATTTAATCCGTTTTATGGCTTATCTTCTCTATCTGCAACTCCCAATAATTAATAGCCACAATCTCATCCTCCATCTGTCCCGCTTTGAGCTTTCTCTTCCTTTGACCTAACAATAATTAAACACAAAACATGTCCGTCACGAAAGAACCTTCAAGACCGACTTTTGAATTTCAACCACTCTCTAAAAGTCCACAATTATAGATCGATTTGACTCAAGCATAAAAATTGGAACCCAAAATGTTTAGAATATATGGATTTCAAGTATCAAAGGTTGTCAACCTGGTTTAGCCCGTTGGCCTTGTCGATTAAGTGTGTCGAGGGTTAATGGTCTAATGGTTTTAGTCCGCTTTTGCCCGGATATATGAAAAATTATTATATTGTTCATATATTCAAAAATTATATAAAATCTCATCTACATATGAGTAATATTCTTCCTCGACCGGAATATCTACATTTGTTTCTCTATCTGCTATTTTCTGCTATCCTCCTTCGAGATCCTAAAATGCACTCCAACAACAAGTATTCGTCACGCGATGAAGGTCACACTCCTATGGTGGCGATGTGTGTCAGAAGTGGAATTAATGAGTAACGACCAAG